CCAGAGAGAGCAGTGAACATTTTTCGCGTTTCCTACTTCTAAAAAATACCTAATAACTCTATAATAGTATTTGGCTTCTCGCAAAACGATCTTCTGTAATAGCCGAGTATTAAGCTCCTACTGGATTCAGATTTGATCAGAAAACTTTTCACAAACAGTGAAACCTCTAAGAGAAGGGAGAACTCATGAGTAAACATAAGCGACTCGGATTGCAACTGCCGAGTAAATATTGTGAAGGTTGACGAAATGGTCTTAAAATGTATATACAAAAAATACTCATCAGGAAAATTCCACGAACTGAAAAATTCTTAAAAACGAAGTTTGAGTCCACTTTCTGAATTCCCTGGTAAAGTTTATGAGAACAAATCAAAAGCTCTTAAAGCATATGCTAAAATATCCAGAGAGAGATTCGCGAAGAGAGATGTAAGGCAAATAAGCACTGGAAGTCGTCAAGGCATTCATATCTTAAAGAAGATGATGTCTCCGTCTGTTCTTGCAAAGTACTTCCGCCAAGTACTCTATCGGATTAAGGTCAGAAGATTTTACTGACCATGGTATTTGCTCTGTGTCTTCATTTTCAAGGAATTCGTCAACGCGTTTTGCTCGGTATGGGCATGCACTATCGTCCATAAATAAAAATTCAGATCCATATATATTTTTGAAAAGTCTTACGTAAGGGTCTAAGACTTCCTCCCTATATCTCTGACTGGTCACAGATCTGCTGTTGAAAACGTGTAGACTGTAAAAACGTGTCATCGATCAATATCCCCTTCATAGCATCACACGTACATTACTGAAACGATCATAAGGATCGAATGAAAATTTCGCATTGCTGCTGATTCTCTACAGTTATAAATAGGTTTATAATCAGCTGTTAAATTAAACCTCAGTTCATCAGAAAAGAGAACATAAGATCACTGATGTTCACTCCAGCTCTGATCTTCTTCACACTGCTTAAAGCGGTTACTCTTTTGTTATGAAAACAGAGAAAAGCATATCCATGGCTTTCTGGCATGAAGGTCTTTTTCATTAAGCCTTCGGTATACAGTTCACTGTGATATAATGGTTCCAGTAGCGATTACAAGTTCTGAAATTAAATGCCGAACAATAGACTTCCTGTTACAATAGGCAGTTATTGAAGAAATTGCGATAGGCATAAATTGATCTTCAGAAGCAGTTAGTATTCATTTACGATCTTGTTCAGGCTTCCATGCAATAGATCTAGAATTCTGAAATTGTTTTCTTAGCATAGAGACTGTTTATCTTCAAATATTCACACTTCTTACTGTTTGAATGTTTATGTTTGTCTTTCCTGCTTCTAAAGGGCCAATGAGGCAGATAGCCCTAGTGTGCTTTGCCATAATTAAATAAACCAAACCAAATTAAAGGGCCGATAACTAGCCACTTCCCACAACCTTCTCCAAATGATAGCTATAACAAACCATTTTGAGTCCTTATATACTGAAATCAGATGCTGTATTCCAAAACTTCACTCGGATATTCAATTTGCGCAAAGCGCTTGATTCACCATCAGATGACATCCTGCCTTGATTCGCATATCAGAAACCGTTTGATTAGTTTTGATTGGATAATGCTAATTAGGTTTGTCTTTTACATATTCTCTGCAAAAAAAGGATTAAATCTATTGGATATTTCATGGAATATCATTATTTTTTGTATGTAAAGATGTAAGGATCCTAAGTTTTACTAACGTTTATTTTATTTTAAATCTTTACTATCACTTCTTATTTTCTACTTCCGGCCAGAATTAAAAGCTTTTGACTTATTTATGCAAATTTGTCTTGCTAACGCCAAGTACTTGACTTGTGGCTTTTTGCCAAGCAAGAGAGAGGAAGGAGTTATTAGAAGCAGGCCGCTTGCCATAGTAGTTTTACTCGGTTGCTGGTTTACTCGGTTGCTAAATACTCTTCAAGGCCAGAGAGAGGTTTAATCCTCGTGATAATTTTAAACATATCGTAGTTTTAGCAGCTCTCTGTACTACATACGGCTTTTTGTTAATTAACGGCCAATCCTGGGGTCAGGCACTTGTTTATTAATCCAAAGTTAGTTTAGTTAGATTTTTAGTTAATATTTTTTATATTCTTACGTTCAGACCACAAGTGGTTGGTCTCTGTATTCCGAAATTTCGTAAATCATTGTAAAGAGAGAAAAATAAAGGGTTTCGTATACCCTTCCTGTGTGTATTGTCTACTTCATAATTTATTGAACATAGCTTTAGTAAGCTCCTTGTTCCGAGTCAAGACAGTTAATGTTTCCAAAGCAAGTAAAGAGGAACACAAGCCCTGATAAAGATATTGAAAAAAGTGTGTATATTAGAATATGCCAGTTCTTCAATAATTTATTTTCTGTATTTATTCTGCTTTCAGAATATTATTCCTGGTAACAGCTGGGATTTTCTAAATCTTTCCTGCTTTCAAAAATCAGGTCTGAAATGTTAGTTCTAGAAAAATCCTTATTTTGTACTTATTACACATTCAGAAACTTATTTTTATTTATACTTAAGATTTTTTAAATCTTTCCTCTTATTAAGCTTTAGGCATCGTCCATATCTATTTTAGCCCTTTAATCGCCTCATATCACTATTTTGTAATCTTAAATAATCAGAACTTTGATTTAAATAATAGTAAAGTACATATTTAAAATTAGTCAATAAAAACAATTTTAGTTTAGTGAAATTTTGAATTCAATCGATTTCGAAAGCAATTATACGTGGATCCCTCTTTCTCGGGTAGAAAATAAAATCCTAAATGGGAGAAGCTACAACATTTTTTATATCCAGTATTTATACAATATTTAGCAAAGCGAAAAATAATGTAGGGCCATCTGTCGAATAAAATGGAAATGAAGCGTGAAAAACTAAGGTATTAGAAATTTAAAAGCGTTTGCAGAACTGAATTAATGCCATTAACTAAAAAAGATAACCAAATGGTAAAGGTATGGTGCCCTTCTTCACCATTCCTAAATCCTAAATCCTAACTAAAGAAGATAAATTTTTGTGATTATAAAGAGCTTTAAATTCTGTTCACCTGTGTTGTTTATTTTTCTTTTCTGACGCGCAATTCTTATTCTCTGAAAAAAAAAAATTCAATTTGTTTTCACACTCACAAGACACGCTATTAATCTCTAAGAATTAAAATTAGAGATACAATCTTTTAATAACTGAATAAAGAATTTTATTGATAGGTAAAATCATTTACTTGAAAACTGAACTTCTGTACAATCTTAGTGACTTTGTAACTGGTAGAAGGATTAAATGGAACAAAGACATGGTTATTATGAGTATTTCTAACAGCAGAATGGCTTTTTGTTGGTATGAGGGAAATTTTTAAACGCCTTTGCGAATGAGTGAGGGAGAAAATTCTTTGTTAATAGCTAGCGAGCAAACTTTGAGAGCTCGATATAGAAGCCGTTTCTCATTTAACGAGCTGGCATGATTTAGCAGGGGAAGGCGAGCAGATGGGAAATGGTTTACAATAAACAGTAGCTTTAATATAAAATTTATTGTGGATGATTAGATTTCGAAGAAAGGAAAGGAATTATCAAATTCAATTTCAGTGTGAATTGGATGACTGGATGAATCGAATTCATAACAGATAAAAATCTTAACTAAATACTCTTTATTACAGGCAAAAAGCGCATATGTGTCAACAGTGTGATGATTTCAAAGCCAAATAAGAGTTTATTAAATAATTTGACATCAAAATAATGCACGTAAATGTCGGCAAGTAATGGACCGAGAGAATTATTCATAGGTATTCTTTTAGTTTGGCGACAATGATTATTTTAGGGAAGGAAGTGGATCTGATTCTGAGAAGCTTCACTGATAGAAGTAGCATTTCAGTGCGAGTGAAGTGGAATAATTGTAAATCTTCTTTTAGGGTACTTTAATACTCCATTAAATAAAACACTACCAAAAAGTAATTTAACATCAAAATATATCATAACTGAATGCTGCAGAGAAGTATAAGGTAAGGGGAAACCGTTACATAATTTTACATTTTGTATTAAAATTGTTAAAGCTAGTTCCGATTTTGCTAATTATTTTTGTGAAGATTTCTGAATTTCATTTTAACGTATTTTCATCTTTCATATATATGGTAATCAAATAATAAAATGTATTCCAGTTTTATGTATTAAAACTTGAAGTTCGAGCCTTTCTAAAGAAAATGAAACGGTTGTTTAAAGCGAATGCCATTTGTTCATCTAATATAACTAAAACTCAATATTAAAATAAAACATAATAAGCATACGATTCAAATGAAAATATAATATGCATATGATTCAAAAGAAAATAGAATATACATGCGATTCAAATAAAAATAGAATATGCATACGATTCAAATGAAAACAAAATACCTACATGATATGTCCAGCTTCCTACAAGTCTATTAGGATTTTTTTCTTAGGTTGAATTTTGTTTATTCTGTAATGAGTTACTTATCTACCAAGCATATGAAGATTTAAAAAACTCAATGTGTCTAGTGAAATTTTCCTGCTGACTAAAATAATAAAAATATTCTCTTTTATAGAAATTAGCATAATTTTTCTCATAAGAAGGTGATTACATATTTAACTTAACACTAAATTCTGTTACTTAAGATTAGGATATACTTATATTTTTATTTAATTCAAATATGCTTATAGTTAAACAGTCATCTTAATAAATGCTAAAAAACAAATGAATAATTAAAAATCTGAATAACTGTATCAGTAATGTTATAATGAGGGGCATTATTTGTATATATGTGCCTGTAATATGTAATTTTAACAGGTTTAACTAAAATGCACATTAAAGTTATTAGATTTTTAACCCTTTCAACAAAATGAAGATGCAATGAAAACGCAACTTTATGAAAATTCAGTGACAATGAATACTTAGCAAGCTAATAATTCAACTCACTTTTAACTTAAATCATTTATTTATTTCCTCAATAAATAAATTAAAATTACATTATGTGCGATTTCAGAAAAGTTTTGTTGTCTCCTTAGTGGTGGTGTCCATGATGATGACCATGATGATGATGGTGTCCATGGTGGTGTCCGTGGTGGTGGTGATGGCCATGATGGTGGTGATGACCATGATGGTGGTGATGACCATGGTGGTGATGGTGCCCATGGTGATGATGATGGCCATGATGATGATGATGATGGTGGCCATGATGGTGGTGGTGCCCGTGGTGGTGGTGATGCCCATGGTGGTGATGATGCCCATGATGGTGGTGATGCCCATGATGATGTCCATGGTGATGTCCATGGTGGTGGTGGTGACGAGCTTCTATATCAGTAACTGCAGTCTCAGGGTCACCATGAGTGTACGTAAAGAGAAGGACAAGGCAGAGAGTTACGAAAAACAGAACTGAAAGTCTCTGAAATGGCAAAGATAAGAATAACAAAGGTAAGAAAATTTTTTCTTGAAATACAGTTAAGTTTTCCTGAGGAGAATATTAATTCTTCTATTTTTAGTTTAGGGGGAATCTCTGTATTGTCAAAGGCAACTGCTTTCAAAAACAACAAGGAAAGGTTAAATTAAGAAATTATAATTTTGCGATATGCAATAAGAAAAGCCAAACTCTCTAATTTGTCTGAGTTCAGCATGAATTAATTGTACATTTATGAAAATTAAATTTATTCCCGGTGGAAATGTTTACATGAGACGTCGGCCACCTATGGTATGCATGCCAGATTTGGCCACGCGGTACTCTACATCACTCTACTCTACTCTACTCAGTGGCACTCTACATCACTCTACAAAGATCGACTTGTCTCTCTTTTCTGCACTAACCCACCTCACGCTTCAGTTTCTCCAGAGGCAGTTTCTCTCTTTTCGTTCGGTTCGTCGCTCCGACACACGAGTATCGAGTATGATTTTAATCGAAAATAGAATTTAGATTGATGCACGTTGTGCGCTATAGGTTACTTTTTAACTTCACGACACGTTTTATTGTGAAAACTCATATTTTGTTTGTATAAATACTGTGAGAATTCATATCTACATATTTAATCAAATGACCACTAAAAAGAGAGAGCTTTATATTCGCGGTTTTCAAAACTCTTGGACAAATGAAATGGATTCGTACAACAAAAGAATCAAGCTACATGTATAAGGTATTTGTCCCGCCTTCTTAGCATGCATTCGTAGTGCAGTGGTCAGCACGCTCGGCGCGTATTCGAGAGGTCCGTGGTTCGATTCCCGGAGAGGGCATTGCTCATTCCTCATTTCTCCTGCTTTCAAAAATAATGTAATGTCTCTACAGCGGCGCACGAACTAAAAAAAGGTGGTGGGTGGTGATCTAGCCCCAGATTTGGCGATGATGCATTTAAAGGGGAAGTATTAAGCATTCTCCCCGTCTTAGCATTCCTCGTAGGTAGTGGTCAGCACGTCGGCGCGATTCAGTGTCCGGTTCGATTCCATTGCTCATTTCTATCTCTTATGAAGTCTCACCTGGCCTATCACGTCATGGTACGTACTGAGCCACGCTCGGATAGCGCTCCGTCGTTTTGATCTACAGCAGCGGCAATAATCGTTCTACGAACGCAAAAGTAGTTGTCACGTAATAGCGTATACCCTCAGGAGTACCTGGATATCAATTTTATGCGTATACGACTATTAGTTCGTTAACTGTGGATTTTACAAATTTTGAACATTAATCAGCGTTCCTTGACGCCATTTTCGACGTGAATTCCATCTTCACAACTGCATTAGGAAGCCATCTGAAGTCGCAGCAGTCCAATACTGGTATCATTGGAAAGAGGATTACTTCAGCTTTCTATTAATAATCTCAATCGGCAAACTGGATGATGATGAATTATAATTAATTTACTAATATAAGTTAGCGAATTTTCGCTCAGCAAGCACTTTTCGACCGTTGAAGGAAATCGTTTCGCCCCGTTTCGCCCCCCCCCCGCGAGCTGCAGGAAGTTCGCGAAGGTCATTCACAACGGCGAATTTTTATCAAGTGGGTTATTTTATTCAACGTAGTAATTAAAGAACAACTCGACGCACCAATCTGGGACCAACGCCATTACTCATACTTCACCTTCGCGGACAGAAGTTTCCAAATTTGGTGTCATTCCGATAATTAGATCCGGAGATACATTTTTTTCCTCTATTTATTGGACTTAGCAGAATTCAGTGCAGTGTAGTGCTTACATAGTGCAAGTGTGTGTGTCAAAGTTAGAAATAAGTAGAATTCAGTGCAGTGCAGTGTTTACATAGTGCAAGTGTGTGTCAAAGTTAGAATTAAATAGCAGAATTCAGTGCAGTGCAGTATTTACATAGTGCAAGTGTGTGTGTCAAAGTTAGAATAAATAACAGAATTCAGTGCAGTGCAGTGTTTACATAGTGCAAGTGTGTGTGTCAAAGTTAGAAATAAGTAGCAGAATTCAGTGCAGTGCAGTGTTTACATAGTGCAAGTGTGTGTGTCAAAGTTAGAATTAAATAGCAGAATTCAGTGCAGTGCAGTATTTACATAGTGCAAGTGTGTGTGTCAAAGTTAGAATAAATAACAGAATTCAGTGCAGTGTTTACATAGTGCAAGTATGTGTGTCAAAGTTAGAAATAAATAGCAGAATTCAGTGCAGTGCAGTGTTTACATAGTGCAAGTGTGTGTGTCAAAGTTAGAATTAAATAACAGAATTCAGTGCAGTGCAGTTTTTACATAGTGCAAGTGTGTGTCAAAGTTAGAATAAATAGCAGAATTCAGTGCAGTGCAGTGTTTACATAGTGCAAGTGTGTGTGTCAAAGTTAGAATTAAATAGCAGAATTCAGTGCAGTGCAGTGTTTATATAGTGCAAGTGTGTGTGTCAAAGATAGAAATAAATAGCAGAATTCAGTGCAGTGTGTTTACATAGTGCAAGTGTGTGTGTCAAAGTTAGAAATAAATAGCAGAATTCAGTGCAGTGCAGTGTTTACATAGTGCAAGTGTGTGTGTCAAAGTTAGAAATAAATAGCAGAATTCAGTGCAGTGCAGTGTTTATATAGTGCAAGTGTGTGTGTCAAAGTTAGAAATACATTTACCGTGGATTAACAATTATTAGATTTCAACTAATTAATATCAGATGAAGAACAGAGAAGTCTGTCTGCCAAGATACCCAGAGAGGCACAATCGTGCAATAGTGCTAAAAGTGTGTTAAAGTTAAAGTGTGTCAAGTGTTATAAGTTCACCAAGTGTGACGCAAGTGTCATCTCGAAGTGCTAAGTGCTAGTCTTTTAGTGTTCAGCGCATAATTGCTCAGTGCTGTGTTCCACTCTGACATGACACGTCCGACAACTTTATCAGATAAAGCAGGAACTACCTCACAAGATAACTTGGATACGGAGGCCTTATTGACGTCTGAGCTTACACGCGAAGAGCGAATTGCAGCTCTAGCAAGGGACATCAGTCTAATTGCCGACACTTATCGAGGAGGCAAACACGTTCTTTCCCAAGTCTTAAGGAACAGGCTCAAGGATTCACTGGAAGTGCTAAAAGGGTTGGCACTCGAAGGGCCAGATTTCAGTCCAAAACCGCCAACACACGAGGCAGGCACAAACACATCTACCCTCGTCTGTTGCGGCTTAGCGCACTTCCAACCTAACGCAGGACCAAGTGATTCAGCAGCACCAAGCCCTTTCACTGACGTAGAAACAGCTGTAATTCCCCAGGTTCCCATCCCAAGATCTTTTGCGGAGGCAGCAAAGCTGATTCAGAAGCCCAGCCAGTCTAGAAAACCCAGAACCCATACTCTGCTGATCTATCCGGCCCAAGACGCCAAAGGAACAGGCAAAGATCTAAAAAGCCACCTTGAATGAAAAATTCCCCCTTGCTACCTTAGGAGTTAGAGTTAATGCAATAAGGAAAATCCAAAAAGGAGGACTGGCAGTAGATTGCCCCACAAAAGAAGACCTCTCTAAACTAGCCAATACATTGGGCAGTGAAGAAGGTCAAAAACTTGTACAGACGAAACTCCCGGAAAAAAGGCATCCTAGGGTTGCAATTCACGCTGTACCGCCAGAAGTACAGAGGGAGGAGGTCGAAAGGACTCTAGCTTCAGAATTTGCTCTTACAAAGTCCACAGCAAAGGTTCTGTACAGACTAAAAGAAGGACGAAATGGAACAAAGTGGATTATCCAATGCGAACCTGCGGCATACGACAAGCTTACGCAACTCAAAAAGATCAGCTTCGGATGGAGAGTCTACAGAATCTCAGAATATTTTAATACGCGACGGTGCTATAGATGTCAGGCATTCGGACACCTACAAAGTGAATGTAAATTCCAGCAACATTGCGCCTTCTGCTCAGGAAGTCACAGCGTTAAGGAATGCAGAGCCAGCAGACCAACCTGCATCAACTGTGCCGATTTTAATTTCAGAACACGTGGTAAAATCAATACCGCGCATGCAGCATACACAGCCTCATGCCCGACATACGCACGATATATTGAACGGCAACAACGCAGCACAGCGTACTAACAGCCAACTAATAGCAACAAGTAATAATCAACCGATACCCACAGTATCAAATAACCCTACGACACAGCACAGATAATCCGCTGCACACAAATAAACCTGCAAAGAGCAGAAGTTGCTACAGCACACAGGCGATACAACATGCAACGGAGCATTCTGTAGACTTCCTGATGATCCAGGAGCCGTACTGCCAGGAAGGACGCATTGCAGGTTTCCCTATAGCATGGCAGGTCTTCCAGTCAAAAGCAAGGAATCAAGATCAAGCACCCAAGAGCGGGTTCTAATATGTTGTAACCCAGCCTGGAATCCGCTGCTAATTAAACAGGACAGAGACTTTGTTGCCGTTTTAATTGTGCTCAAAAATGCACAACTGATTCTTATATCTGCGTACTCCTCCCCAACAGATTCCATCGACAATTTCGTAGCAAACGCAACGTACGTCCCGATCTAAATGCCATTCAACGCCACAAGTCTATGGGGGTGATCTTAATGCGCATCATGTAAACTGGGGATACCAAGATATCACTCCCAAGGGACAAGCGCTAGAGGACTACTTAACAGCAAACGACCTACATTTGGTCAATACCAGCGGCGCACCCCCTACCTTTGATAATACTTACTGCAAAGGTTGGCCAGATGTCACCCTGGCAACAGGAACGGCTCTATCGCAAGTACAGGACTGGAAAGTTAGCGACGAACTAAGCTGCTCGGATCACCGTTACATAACCTTCACAATCAACTGTGACACCAACATCTGTATTTTAAAAGCGCTTTAAGTTACCAAAAGCCAAAATCCGTCCTCTGACAGCAGCCTTCTCTACTTTATTAACAGCAGAACAGGAGACACTAGAAGCCTACAACGGCAAAGACGAGATGGAAGAATTTACAGAAACATCTTCTGGATAATATTAAGACCA